CCACATTCCTATTCGCTCGACTCACTGCAGATTTCGTCGCGATACTCTTGGAAGATTCAGGCAAGATGGTGATACAGGCTACCCTCACGAAAGGCTAGTGTGCCTTTTGTGAGGGTAGCCTGTAACAACATCTGTCTCGTTTGGCAGTTGAATTTTCTCGCAAATTTTTTGCTGACTCATAATTTTCCTCTATGTCTGCACATCTCTCATCAAACGCTTAACATCATATGGAACGGTCCTCAAAGCTCGAGGACGAGCTTTTTGTAGGGAATGGAGATGTCGAGTCATACGTCAGCTATGCTGAGTCATGCGCTAGCTCAAGACAGCCGCCAGGATTTCATCAGCTTCGCCGGCGCACCTTGTCATGCCATCTATCAAGGTTTCAACATACTAATGTATAAACCATGGTATAAGAGGAGCCGCCTCGTAGAGTCGAGGTCTCGGATGTCACCTTGGCCGCCAAGCTAACCCCGACCCAGGTATAGGCTCGGCCAGCCTATAACTTTATAGGTACGCACATGAATAAATAAACAAACAAGCGAACATAAAGAGAAGTGAAGGCCAGTGAAGTACAGTAAAGTATTTTCGGTATCTTGAGAACTCTGTGCAACCGCGAATGCTATCCTTGGACCAATATCATGGTTGTGCGGGAAGTTTCACATTCGTTAAAATTTCTTCCGAAAACTTCCGAAAGCTTTCATAAAAATGCTATGAAAGGGCACTGCTCACTCTTGTGTGTATGAAATTCAGGAGATTCCATGATAGTGCAATCGGTTGACCAGAAGGTGTGCCTGGGTCCGCTTAGAAGGGAGTCCGAGAACGGTGCTTGACCCAATGGGTTTCAGCAGCAGAGTGGTCGGATTCGAACTTGTGAAGAAGTATGAGTTGGCTATGGGTAGACGCTTTGGGAATCCTATGGTTGTATGAGCAAGGAAGAGGTAGTCGGGGTGTTTTGCGAATGTCGCCGATAACGGCACCCAATTACTGTATATTTCACTCCTCCCTCTCGAGTGGTTTCACACGGGGGCGGGGCGCGGGGTTAGGCCCGGGCTGGAACTCACTTGTAGCTTTGTGCGGCGTGGGGTACGATCCAGTCCGCCCACGCGTCTCGCTCATCGCTTTACTGTTTCATTACAAATGGTTACCACCCACGTCTCTGCACCCATCCTGGTCAGCTTATACGTGTGGGTGGTATGCTTACATAGAAACCCTCTGGGGACTTCCGGAAAGTTTGGGGAGAAGTCTGGGCTGACGCAAACTTTTTCGAGTAGTTTCTTCCCGCACAACCTTGTCCCTTTATATGCGTTCTAAGCTCCTTTTCGTGTAGCCTGATACAACCAAAATTACAGAAAAATACTTAAAAATTGCTTTATTACGCGTAAAATATCATCATCACATGCAATATAGCTTTGTATAGATAATTATCATACAAAATCTTAATGTATGATAAGATGAACATCCTTCGGGATGTCATGCAGGCTTTTATGCTGTTCAAACAGCTCAGTAAGAGCTTTGCAGTACTGAGCATGAAGCGCGTCAACTTCTTTGTCGGTAGGATTTTCTGTTCGAACAACCCTGAAAAAAGGACGATTGAGAAAAATAGATAGCACTGACAAGTTCCTCTCAACATGATGATATATTTTGCTTCCCCTGAAAGATCTGTGACATGCCTCCCTATAGTACAAGAACCTCGTTTTCCAAGAAATTAATCTTTTTCTTTTTCCGTTTTCCTAGCATAATTTGTGCATTGTAGAAGGTGTTGGAAGATTTGGTTTTGAAGGCCTCCACGAGTTACCCAATCCCGACCGGGGATACGTCCCAACATTGGACTTCTCTACGGATCAGGACGGCGCTTGAATCCGTATATGGTCCATACAACCACTTGGGGTGACCATCTCATTCTTACTTGACCTGGGCCTCGAACCGAGATTCAATCCCGGACTTTGAACTTGATAGAACGCCATTTGGTACCACACCACCTTACCCTCATGGAAATTTCCAGCTCGTGTCATCAATTGCTTCTGAGGTGGGACGACTACATAGGACAAAATAGCTGCGGAGTGGAAAAAAAAGCTCTACTGGGAACTGACTCCAACTGGGCACTGCGCCATAGCGAAGATGGTACAAGCTGGTTTTGTGGCCTGGTAAGTGATTCGTAAGAGGACGGAGTACTTGGAGAAGAATACATCGACTAAAAAAGACTAACACGCTACCGCTTGTTCTAACTGTTGTAGAGGGACCGTTCAAACCCCAGTTTTCGTGGGTCCACTTGGCCTCGTATCACTCAGAAGCTCGGCATGACTCAAAATGTTGTCTAAAACTGCGGGACGACGACGGATTGCAATAGATTGACCAGAAAAAAGAGTGACTACACTTATCCACTCTACTGAAAATAAGGCCTAGCTTCCTCACCCGGCCAAACTGTCCTTCACATCTCCCTCTCCACTATCCTACTCCTCTGCGTTGCCTGTAAGAAGATACACCTACCCACCACATAAACGTTAATCACATCCTTTCCGTAGACTCTTTCTAACAAACACAGTGCCAATTCCGTACCTGATGGGTGCTCCAATAACGGTTGTAATAGGTCGTCGATGTGGCAGCATGCCGAAGCTGTAGTTGAAGATTCCTCGACCTTTTAGCAATGGTGGACATAAACCGAGCTTATTCTTGATCCATGTCTAAATTTCCCTACTTAACAATGATCAGACAGTAAATGGACCCGGAACATACCTGAAACTCTCCTGGGCGAGTCCCACTTGTGGTCTGCTCCCATCGGTCGAAGACGTCGTTCTCACCGAAGTGGTACATCGGGACAAGATCGGCGCTGCAACGAAAAAGACTCGGTTCGAAAAAAAACTAATTGAATTAAGGAGATAATAGAAGAAATAAAAGGGCAATGCGGCCGGCCAATCTCTTCACGATGGCTTAGGAGCTGGTCTTTGTTTGGGACTATTCGACCATTCAACGTTCTTTGAGATCGTTGAATACAACGTTTCCCCAGTTAATTTTCCACGAATCCATTTGAGCCAGAATTGTACCTAAAGTCAATGCTAGTCAGGTGACGGGCCCTTTGTTCTTACACTATCCCATACCCTCAAAAGGACAACATAACGCGATGGGGAAGTGGAAGATACGAGAATCGACTTGGGGCGAATGACTAGGGAAAGAAGGAAACAGCTGAAAAACTCACCCGTATTTGAGAGCATAACGGCAAAAGCCTCGCCGTGAAGATAAATTGAGTTCATGAGTTCCAGGAAAAGCATATAATGCTTCTGTGGCTCCTCCCAATACGATGCCAATGGCTCGACCTGAGTGAAAACTTCATTGGAAACCTCGGAATTCGTCAAAAATTCCAATGACTTACCTTTACCCGGATTTTCCAAGAGATACTCAAGAGATTTCCGTGATGATTCTGTTCCACCTAAATAGAGGCATTACCGAAGCATATCTAGTAGTTGAGATACGGTCAAAGGGCTCCCAAGAAAGAGGATCATTGCAATTTTGCATAGGAAGGTCAAACCCACCGAGAGCAATGCCAATATCTCTTCGAAATGGGAACCAAAATTGCCCATTCAATGTCAGAATAGTGGATTTTAATCCTGGAAACATGTCTGGGAATCCTGATCCAGACGTGACCATGGCAGTAAAACCTCCAATCGACAGAATACCATGTGGATGAGATCTACAAAAGATGCTTGATCATAAAAAGCATGGAATAAAACAAAAAAAGAACATAAATTTGTAGTGGCCGACACGACCTTTAACTGATGTTTTATTCACGACAGAATATCAAAAATGCTCTACTGAGGGCAAAGCGTTCAACTCAGGGTGAGATTCGTGCCCGAATCTGTGCGATTCGTGCTCTCAGTGCTCTTATCTACATCACTGCAATGACCCCCCAGGGCAAACATTGCCGGTGACATACACTTACTATTGCATTGAGGTAATGTGATGTTCTATGAAAAGCACAGTGCGGGGGAAAAATAAATCACCATAAAGTTGCTATCTTTTCCAGAAAGTCTGGGTAACAATTATGGGCATTGGGTTCTTGAATCGCTAAGGTTGAGTGTTCTTAACGCGTAACCTGAATATTAAATGATACAAAAACTGACGTACCCGATAATATAGTTTCGATCTGGAGGCAAGTCGGCAGTTTTGACGATCCTTATAGGGAAATAATCAGCAAAATGGGTCCAAATGGCGTGATTTTTGTACCAAGTCTGGAACCGAGATTACTTTGAGGTTTCAATATTTTTAGATCATTCTTTTGAAAGACTATTCACTTACAAGGACTAAAAGTCAAGTGAGAATATAGTTGGGGGCACTCCTCGTCTCTAACTCGTGAGCGCTAGAGCGCAGAGAAGTAGGGATAGCTCCCCTTACGGTGCTCTCTTAGAAGAAATAGCATGCTGGCACGCTACTATTCGCACCACCTCGAAGCGAAATGAATCGGAGGTCAGCTGAGGGTTCAATGCTTTCCCCATCCAAGCTTTTGCAAGAAGTAATCATCTTCCCACCCTGATACTCTATCACTCCTGAAGCTTGGGTGAAAAACTGTTTTCTCCTGGCCAAAGACGTTTTTCAGCACACAAGAGGGATTTCATCGTCCCGCCGAAGACACTAGCGCCTCTAATCACCCACATATGCGACGCAACAAAAAGGCACTCTGGGTGAAGCCCACGGGGTGCGTGGTGGGATCTAGGGGTTACTGTATCACACGTTCACAGCACTTTGAAATCCCTTCTTTTCCCAGCACCTCTACGGCTGGCAAAGCCGGCTATCCCCACTTCTCCGCGGTATAGCGCCCAGTATCAGAGACGGAGGGTGCCCCAACTACATTTTTACCCAAAGTCATCATTATATGCATATCAGAATGAAATAAAAAGTCCTCTCAGAATATTACGGTAATTCGAGTGAGAAAAACAAACCCAACATCGGGATCCACGGCGTGGCTTGTCGAAGTCGTAATAGGTCCACACAAGGTATAGAATCATTGCCCACCAAAATCGAGTAAAAAATAACAAATAGAATGGCAGCTGAAAAATATACTAATAGAAATTTAACATCGATACGATTGAAAAGGCCTCCTGTCAGCTAAACTTAAAAAGAAATCAGAAAAATGAAGGGAGAAATTAATGGAACCAATTTTGGTAAAAAAATTCCAAATAACTTACCCACACAGAGACAATCGGTAATATTACCCATACGAACATGAAATGCACAACAGCCAAAGTTTCCAGACGTCTTTTTGTAGGAAGAATGAGAGGTGCCCAGTCGATACCGAGAAACCGAATCGGTCGAATGAACATCCTAAATGCAGAAAGTATTGATTTATTGATTTCCTTGTTACTTCAGTAACCTGAGGTTGTCAAGACGTAAACAACTGTTTTCTACTAGGACTAAAATCGCAAATATTAATAAATTTAGGTGAAAATGTAGTTGGGGGGTGCCAGCGTCCTTTTGTGCTCTGCGTCTCGTCAGTTCTTACACTATTTAATCCCTTTTAAAAGTTAGGGAAGGAGCTCCGGGGTGGGTGAACCAACTGGATGTTCAATTCTTTCCCCTTCCCAGCTTTTTACACGAAATAATCATCTCTCCCACCCCGGAGCTTCTCCCTTAACTTTTAGAAGGGGAGGAAACCATCTCTGCGATCTCTAATGCACTCTGCCGCCGGTGTCAGAGACGCAGAGCACAAAAGGGCGCTCGCACCCCCCAACTACATTTTCACCATAAATTTATGTAGAGCTAGGTATTTTACGGTAATGAGGAGTCAGGAAAAGTAACGAACTGATGGCTATAGACATTCGTTATCAAAGTAGAAAATATCTGTACTCAAAAACGTAAGCAAAAGTGGAAGCAAAAGATAAAGTCTTGAGCGTTAAATAATTCCACTGAGAGATGCGCCCTGCATTCGACTTCCATTCAAAATTGCAGTGACGTTTGAATGCATATACGACCTATACAATGACTTGAAGTTAAGTGAAGCCGATGTTCAACTCAGTGCTTTTATTCTCCCAGACGAGTCTTGTACCAATTAACCGACCCCAGAGAGATAAAGGGCTTTGTTGGTCTAGGCGGATATCGATCAGGGATCCGAACCCCCCAACCATGCGTGCGTGATAATGCGCCACTTGCTACTGAACAAATTCCGCCTTTGAGAATTTGTGATCTTCTAGCACCACCTTCTTCTGGAGTGGGATGNGAATAGCACAAAATACCTGTGTAGTAATATGAAGTAACTGTACTGGTAGTTGACTTGTAGTGGTGGCCTACACCATTGTAAAGACGACCCAGCCGGTTCCAACGCAGGCATGCGACTTTGTCAAAGATCAGTGAAAGAAGGAAATAACCGAAGACGAATGCAAGTAATGCAAAATAACAGCGCAACTTTGGCGCAGAACGACTGAATTGACACAAGCGGGAAGAGAGAACGGCCTACGGTTTGGTCTAGCACTGTTGTTCGGGGAGAAGTCCTTGTGCAGACCTACACAACGAAGCGAATTTTGGAAAAACAGTCGATCGAAAAGAGGAGGAAGACGGGTTTTTTATAGAGAAAAGGTATGACTTGACCATAAGTTCAGTCAAAAGGACCATCGCTGGCTCTAGTGCAGATAGGTGGACCAGTCGGTAACGGTGCCCTTTGTCGTCAGAAACGGGTTGGGAAGTTATCCTACGTTACAGTCTAGTACTAGTACTGGTTTTATGTCAAGGCTATCAGTTCAAATGAAACTGGACCCAAAGTGCATACTGGATGAAATTCTATTTTGGAAATGACAGAACGTCTCAATCCCTTACTACTATGTACTTTACCTATTATATCGATTTCATCTGATATATATCAGTAATCAAAAAGAGGAGTAGACATAGAAGGGCGCAAGAAGGCATCAATAAATGGGACATCGTGAAGGAGGCACTATCCCTTGTGTGGCCGATGTGAGAAGAAAATCAATTGGAATCGGGGATCAACATGTTGTGGACCGACTAAGAGATCTTTGACCTATAACACCTCCTTTCAAATTAAATTTAGTAAAAATATAGGTGGCTGGCGCTTCTCTTTCCCAACACTGAGCAGAACCTCGACGGGTAAATGATTTCCCCGTGCTAGAAGCTGAGATCAGGTGAAAATTGGACGTCTACTTGAATCACGCAACCCTGTGCTCCTTCACTTTTGGGACTTGGTTCGAAAGAGCAATTTTGCTCAGCGAGGAAATGTTCCTAAGCAACATCACAGGTCTGCAAAGTCGGCTAAGCCTCCTTTCACGCGTTTTAGGGCCTCGGTTAGAAAAGAAGGGTACCCTCCCTAAAACTACATTTTCACCATTACTTTGAATGGACGTTAGTTGGTCCTGCCTCTGAGGTGCGCCTACGTATCCGTACTTACGGTCAGGATTGAAGTGGCGTTTGAAGGGGTATGTGGCCTACACAATTTCTCTTGATAGCCAGCCGATGTAGAAGTCAATACCGTCCATAGTTATTAATATTATATGTTATTACTGCTTGTATACTATAAACAATTAGTGCATATTGTATATTTCATCAATGGATGCGAGCTCATCAATGTCAGAAAAATAATCCTCCGAAAAAAATTGTTTTCTTTTTCAACGCTGTCTTATATGGCGTATATGATAAAATAAAATTTGTGATTTTTTTTTCGATTTACCCTTTGAATTTCTCCAAGTACATCGACAGTTCCGCCACTAAGAGCTTTGGGATATCACAGTTGAAAAACATGAGATCTGTAATGAATCATTTTATATAACAGGTAGACATTGATTCGGAGTCCAATTGTAGTTAGAATTGACCTCAGGGAAAACATGTTCAAAAAATAATTCAAAAAGTCACAGTGCTTTCATTTGTGAGGTTACTCTAGGATTTATTGAGAGAAATAACCGAACTCGAGTGTATGGCGCATTCTCGACCTTGCTGACACTGTCTTACCTTTGCTGAGTATAAATTTCGTGATGATGAAGGAAAGCCACTTGTAAGCAGCACAAAATTTCCAAAGTTCCTTGGCTAGTCTCCTCCGGAAGAGTGAGTGATGAGGAGGAGGTGGGAGGGTTTCCAAGTCCATCTATTCGCTAAATGAGTATTTATAGGCCGAGGAATGTTAAAGAGATAGTCAACAGGAGATAGAGCAGTTGTCAGCAGTATTGTTATTCTTCTAAGATACGCCGTGCCTTCCTCCTCATTCCGAATTAGTGGTAGCGTTCGGGCATGTACTTGTTCTAGGCGACTGCTCACAGAGGGTGGCTTACCCTCAATGATGCGCTTTTGTTACCCAAGACAATTCCACTGATGAAAAGGCTGGAGTCGGAAGGAAGCCAGAGGTTAGGGAGAATACCTGGGTGATTTCCCAAACTATCAATTCAGTGAGTCATGATTGGGTATTAGGGAAAGGAGAACTGCTTGGTACTGCTCTACAGTCTTCTCTAACTAATACTCCAGTACCAAAACTATGAAATACCAATAAAACAAAGAGCTGACATAAGAAAAGAGAGTGATCGATTGATGAAAATCAGTCGATTGGAAGGGGAGATGTGCGAACTTGGGGAACTGCTGAAGTTCGTTAGTGTAGTTCGGCGTGTGCGATCACCTTTGAGTGCATTAAGTGGTCAAGAACAAACAAGAACATCACTACTCATCATGGGTCTTCCCTAGGTAACCAGTTTTTTCCAGCTGGCTCATCACAAAGGGGTGGCGTGATCGATTACGTGGTCTCCTCGGGGAAGCACGTGGTAGTTTTAATTTCATTCGTTCAGTCCGATTTGAAAAGTCGGCTACCGTATCAACCCGATACAGCATCCATTAAAGATCTAATTCAATTCATCAACAACAAAGAAATGGATAATATGGACATCCTTCAGCGAAACAAAGGCCGAAAATGAAAGCCAAAGCTTTTCGGCGTTGATTAGGCGCTCCCAGTATTTTACATCTATTCAGAATCGTAGCCACATTTGAATGCGTATGCGGTCCACACAATACTTAGTGAGGACCCTTGAACAAGTCTGGGCTTCCGTTTCTTCGGGCCCATACTCGTGGGGAAGTATCGAAGCTCTAGACTGTATAAATCTTTTTGAGGTTGGAGTTATGGAGAGCTAATTAAATCAGGCAAACTTCGATTCGGAGTTCCCTGGATTTCGATCTGATGTCCGAGTGGCGATTTGATGTTTTCAAGTCTTTTGGCATGATTAGTCCCGTTCTGTGATGTGCCCCACTCTTATGAAGTCGGAATCGGCATTTCAATGGCATTTTATGTGTGGGCGCTGTCTATCCAATGACCTAGGGAGACGGGCAGTTGGAACTCTTTTATGAAATCGATCGGCCGTACGCGGCTGTCGCGGAACATTTGCCACGCTATAACAGTTCTAGCTTTCTTCATACAGCTCAATGGCTATGTGATTATTACTGGTGGCATGATTATACAATTAGTTCCTTTGTTGCTGTATTTTTTTACCTGCTGCTGCATTTTGCTACATTCCTTCGCGCGCGGCGTCTCTCTCGCCGCGACGCGACAACTTCGTTCCTAGTGCACTACACCCAATGAACTACGGTAACCAGCCGACTCTTTAACTGGTCTGTTACCGGGTAAGCGACTCGTC